ACTTCATTGTTTTGCACTAATAGGTACTCCTCACGTTTGTGGAATTATATCTGTAATCTTTCTTTGTTTAGCACAAGGCTGCCATACTGTACTAAGAGCCTCACACCCAGCTGGGGCTGTTTCACTAACTGCAGACTCTAAACAAACAATTTGACCATTTTCTGCATCTCTGTTTTCTTATTCAGTAAAATGGGGATTCTGATAGTACCACCCTCATCAGGCTGGTGTAATAATGATACAAAGTAACATATGCAGAACACTTAGCAAGGGGCTTGGCACACATGGTAAAACTTGAGTGAAGTTGGCATTTATCATTGTTAATATTATGGGAAATGAGCTGAAACCCCATTCTAAATCATCTGAATGCTGCATATACTGAATCACATGCCTTGTTGCTAATGAATCCAGACAAATGTATTTAAACTGCTCATCTCCACGATTTGTTTTTGTTCTCTACTATTTGTTTTCTGCGAACGGCCTTAAAAATTCAAGAAGTCTTCAGAGATGTCAAGAGTACCAGATTTAGTCATTTAATTTCTCCTTTACATAGGTATTTGATTGCCTCAAAGAGCAGGGGAGGCGTAGTACAGAGAAAAAGAACAGACACGTTATTCTGCTTTTGTGGCACCAGCAAACAGGACCATAATTTGCGTGTGACAGGCGCCATGCTATTGGTATCCATGGCTCCAGGGGTTAAGAGGCTAGTAGCAGTCAGATATCAACATTCATCATGTAAAGGTTAATAACATCAATAGGTTCGGGAATCGACTGGATTCTAATTCCTACTCTTCCACTCACCTTAACGTTCTCAGGCTCCACTTTTCTCACCTGTGGTGTATGGGTCGCAATAGTAACTACTCATGGGCTTGTTTTAAAGCCTAAATAAGATAATGCTTCTGATGCTCTTAGCACAGGACCCAGCATGTAGTGAGCCCTCAATAAAACTAGGTATTGTTATTAATACTATTATTATTTATGGAATTAAGTATATGAAATGCATTATGAGAAATTTGACGAAGGATGGGAAAGAGAGCAAAAAGAGATTAACAGAAGGACTTGGCCTAGTCTGGGGATTTGGGAAAGTTTCTATGGAAAAGGACATGCAGTCTGAGACCTGCAGAGCTACTAATTCTCAGATAGTAAACAGAGTCGAGTAAACATTTCATAGACCGGCATCTGTGAAGGCTTTCCTGAGGTAAAGAGCTTGTTAGTTTGAGGAACTAAGAGAAATTGGTGATGTACCATGTTAAGTAAGGGAGAGAATAGCCAGAAAATGAACAGGGCCTAGGGAGGCCGACGCGGGCAGATCGAGACCTGCAGAGCTACTAATTCTCAGATAGTAAACAGAGTCGAGTAAACATTTCATAGACCGGCATCTGTGAAGGCTTTCCTGAGGGAAAGAGCTTGTTAGTTTGAGGAACTAAGAGAAATTGGTGATGTACCATGTTAAGTAAGGGAGAGAATAGCCAGAAAATGAACAGGGCCTGGGGAGGCCGACGCGGGCAGATCGACCAAGTCCTGTAGGCCACATAGAAAGTTTTGAACTTTTATCTCAAGTAAGGAGGAGAGGATTAAAAGCCCATTAACAGGCTGGGACATGGTGAAAATATCCTCTTTAACAAAGACCATGATGGCTGCTCTGTGGAGAATAGACTGGAGAGAATGAGGGTGGGAGGGAGAAGGAGGTCCAGTTGTCCACTGAAAGATAATGGAGGCTTTGACAGGAGTGGTGTTGGTGTTGATGGAGAGAAGTGGGGTTGTTTTCACTGTGTGTTGGAAGTTGAGTCAACAAATTTTGGGGTACTTTTGTAAAATGATTAAAAAATGCTTCAGTTAACTGGGAAAATGGAATGGCATTGAAAATTTGAAAACAATTAGATTTATTCTGTAGAACGTCAGAAAATGGAGCCAAGACCATGGAGTAGAAGTTCCGAGAAGGCCAAGGTCAGCTCACCATGAGGAAGTGTATGTCAGACTTAGAGAGATATACAGTGGAGCAGGCTGCTAGATGGGTAGTGAATTCCCTGTCACCAGAATGTTTAAGCGGATGAATGATCACTCTTAGGGGACTCTAGATGAAATGTTTCCGAGGATACTTTTTATTCAAAATCATAAGATGCCATAATAAGTAAGAACTGACAATTTTATAACTGACTATAAATTAAGATTGCAGTGTGCATTCTGTAACAGATGTTGTTTTCATTTAAAGTGATTCAAGACTTATTGTCTGGGTTCACATCACAAATAAAGTTTTATCTTTAGAAAATTTGACATAAAAAACACTAAAATCCGTCATGAGTTGCTTGCAATTGCATGTTTAATTTTCTTTGGATTTTTAGTCTTTTAAAAATTAAGTTTCAAAAGAATTAGGGAACAAGTTCCATTTCCTGTTTTCTTTAGGAAATTGATATAAGAGATGCACCAAGGCAAAAGTGTTCTTAATGACCGCTCATGATTCAGCACACCAGACTCACGGTCAGTCACTAGTAATGGGGTAGAGCTTTTGAAATGTAAGACAACCATTGATGGAAAAGCTCACTAGACGCATCCTTAATTTTAAACTAGGCATTGTTTCTAATCACATATGTCTTCTTTCTTCATCTGATGTACTATTTTCATTTTTACTGTTTACATCTTGTCAGGTAGAGCTCACATAGTTTGTATTTCTAATGGGCGGCATCTTTCCTTTTTCTGGTTTGTTCGTGAGGTGTACAAGCTCATTTTGTCACTGGAAACTTTCTTTCCTAACAGGCTTTTAAATTGGGAGAATATCTTAGCAACTCTGAAGAGCTTGGGGCAGAAAGTAAATACATTTTGTTACTCTGCCCAGTACCAGCATTACTATTTTTACCTTCCAGTACACTGTTAGGAGACTATTGTCTATTTACTTTTTTTTTTTTTTTAAAGAACATTTCCTATTATGCACAAAATATTCCAATTGCCTTATTTTTCTCTGTCTATGCCTGGTTGCATAAGCTGGCTGGTGCTTTGTTTCAGAAGCAGTCATGAGACCAACAGAGTCAATGCTTTCAGCTACTTTTAAGGACAAGTGGATTCTTACATTTTCACCCCACTTTCAACTCTTCATTTCTTAAAACTTGAAATGAATACCAGTGAACATTGTATTCCTCTAATTCTTTCCACCTGTCTCTCACAAAAGAGTGGAGACGAAGCGGGTAGAGTGAGTGGAACATCCCGGATTTTTTTCTAGAACATGATTTTATGTTTATTTGATTAGAGAATCATCGAAGCATTCAGTTGCCCTTAAAAATAGTCATGGGCTATAGAGTACAGCACGGGGAATACAGCCAATAATATTGTAATAACTGTGTATGGTGCCATGTGGTTACCAGACTTATTGGAGGGATCACTTTGTAAATTATTTAAATGTCTAATCACTATGCTGTATACCTGAAACTAACAAAATAATATTGAATGCCAATTCTAATTGAAAAATAAAAGATAAAGAAAAGCTTGAAACTTATTTGATTTTGTTAAGCAATGTCACCCTAAAAGAAAGAAAGAAAGAAAGAAAGGAAGAAAGAAAGAAAGAAAAAGAAAGTTGTAAAAAGAAAAAATAATTTCTCTGAAATATCTAAGCAGGGAGACATTTCAAAACTGAGGAGAGATATTCCTGGGAGCCCAAAATTCTGTGGCCAAATATTTTGGGTTACAGACAGGTCAATTGTTAGATGTTAAGCTAAGATTGTTCACTCATTTGTTCATTTGTTCTTTTGCTGAGTAGCTGTTAGGACTCAGATTCCATTTTCCATGCTGAGGAGAGATCATGGTGAAGGGGACACACCATGTCCCTCCCTTCAAGAAGTTTCCAGTTTCTAGTGGTAAAACAAACCATTACCCATTACATAACTATAGTAGTATTAAGTACTCAAATATAGACAATGAAATGAGGACATATAAAAGGGGGGCAGTAAGTCTGTCTGAGGGTGGTCCAAGAAGTGTTTCTGTTGGCGACTTGGAAAAGAGCAGCATTCTGGCAAGCAGTTAAGGGATGTGGTTTGGGAAAGGGAAGATACCATCAGCAAAAAAATCTCCAAACAAATAAAGAAACAAACAAAAAACCAGATTCAAGAAGAAGGAATAAAATGAGCGAGGAATTGCGGGTCATAGGAGAGCCATGGGCTGTTTGGGGAAGTACAGGCAGGCACATTTTTTGTGTTGCTTGGAGAGTGGAGCAAGAGGAGGTGAGGCTGTGGAGGGAGAGAAGAACCAGCTAAAGAAGAGCCTTATATGGCACAATGGAAATTTTAGTTTTGTCCTATGGAGCCATTGAGGGGCTACTGAGGAATTCTGAGCAGAAGAGTGATGTAATCAGTTTGGGAATATTCTGGTAGCAGTTTGCAATATGGATCAGAGATGGGCAAGTGATGAGTGTGTCATTTAGGAGCAAGTGATGATGAAATAGGCCAATGGCCATGAGATTAGAGGGGAAGGATATGGATTCCAAAAATATTTAGGAGGCAGAAACCACAGGACTTGGCTGAGTGTGGGAGGGGAGGGAGGAGAAATAAAATTATGGATTTTCTTTATAATTTATTGAGTTTTTAAAATGTGTCAGCACTTTATAAGGATGGCTTCATTTAATCACCATACCAACTTGATGAGATAGATACTTTGATTATCCCATTTTATGGATGGGCATCTGGTTCTCATTTACTATAATATACAACTATATAATTTGTAAAATTATAGATGAAAAACTCGATTTAATTAGAACAACACTTAGCTTCTTTTGTGATTATGAGCAAAAGTAAGAAAGTTGAATACAAATATGTTGCTCCCACACAAGACTGACTTCATGTGTTTACAACCGATGCATAAAGCCTCTCTGCACTCAAAATAGTGCTGTGCTTGGGGTTTAAGCTCTACATTTGAGATCATGAACTTCTTAATTTTATCTTTGAATATGCATTTTGGAAGTGAAGTCTGAGGGGACAAGGAGCATGTGCGTTGGGGGCTTGAAACCTTAGCGCACCTTTGCCCTTCTCCCCTGTGCGGTGTGGCTGCAGGGTGAGGGGAGAGGGTCAGGGTAGGGCATGTGTCCTGCTGCATCTTGGGGTGAGGCCAAGAAGAGGTCATCCCTGACCAGGCTGGCAGCACCATGCTGCGTTTGGTGCAAATTCAGAGGGGGCCTCTTGGCCACCTTTAAACCGGGTACCAATTATATCCTGAGGGCATGAAAGTCTCAACTCTTTGGGGTTCTGTCTACCATCATTTAGGACACTGGACTGTGGGAAGACAAGACTGACTTCCCCATTCCCTGCTTGGATCCCAGATTTTCATTTTGTACTAGGCACCCCACAAAATATATAGCTGGCCCCATCTCCTCAGTCTCTTGCCTTACTTTCTGTATAATAAATGTATAGACTGACCTTTGTTAAATATGAATTCAGAAGATACATAAGTGCTTGTTTTAAGCATAGTATAAGCCCACTGCCTTAGGATTTAAAAAGTAGCATTGAGATAAAGAATGAAACGATAATGTCTCAAAATTAGGTTAAGATGTGTATTTTACTCATTAATAAACTCAATAAAAGAGAATAATTAGCATATTAACAAGTTAGGGTCTTATTTTGACTTCTGTTTTGAAAAATAATTGCAAGGAATAATTCTTAAATCTTGCCTGGAGACATCAGTATAGGAAAAAGTTGCACATGGGTTGCCAAATCAAACACAAGATGTGAAAACTAGATGTTTTTCTCAAAATTCAAGCAAGTTAAATTTTACTGAGAAGCACACATGACTTCAATGAAGTTAGAAATTTCAAATTTAAAGGTAGGCAAAATATTATAGTGAGTGCCAGAAGTATTTAACGCATGTTAATGACAATTGGTTCCATGGGCATCTAACAGCCTTCTATTAGTGTTTATCTGTGACGTGAACAATACCCCCTTTCGTAGGCTGATTGATATTTCCCACCTACGAAATCACAGAAAATATTACCATGCAATGTGTCAAATTAGCTACTTAAAAAAAAAAATTTACTACAAACATCTTAAACCTCTAAGTAACTGGGCTGTATTTTATTTTTGTGACCTCACGTTTTGTAAGACACTCACTAATCAGGTTGTGATGGTGTTGCCACTGTACAGCTGGAAAAGGCAAATAAACTCTGACCCTCTCTTCCCCCAAACCTTTCTTCCTTTCGGTGCACGAGGGGTGATCATCACGGCCTATATCATTGGTATCCCTCTTTGTTTCACTGACCAGTCAGTTGGCAGTGATTTTAGAAAATAACTAATTCATACAGGAGAAGATAACCCGATCCACCTATCCTGAGACCCGAGGAGCAGCTTCATGCTCAGCCTGTCATCTTTTCCTGCCAGTTCAGTTGCAGAGAAGAATGCTGCCTCCCTCTCCTTCCCAAACTTTCCAAATGCTTTTCGAGAAGTCTTGGATTCAAAACTATGCTTGCTGTCCATCTTACCCCAGGTTCTCCTGCGTGCAAATGTTGGGGTGGACACACAGTAGAATTTAACTTTGACCCTCCCCACCCCGTGGCCTGTTCCTGACTTTGACCTGACTGTAGTGATGAACTCATCCTCTCTTAGGTGCCTCACTCCTGATGCAGAAGCTCGCCCAGATATTGTAGAAGTCAGCTCCATGATATCGGATGTCATGATGAAGTATTTAGACAGCTTATCTACATCCCAGCTGGCCTTGGAAAAGAAACTGGAACGAGAACGGAGGCGCACACAGAGGTATTTTATGGAAGCCAATCGGAACGCCGTCACATGTCACCATGAGCTGGCTCTGCTACACGTGAGTGTGACTCCTTCAGTCTCTTCATGATGCATTCTACTAGGGAGGTCTGAAGTTGTTCATACTGGTCTTAAGGGAAGTTCATTTTAAGTGAGGAAAATATCGATTGCCACATACAATATTTCACTCTTATATAGTTATACACTTGCATCCATTTGTATATCTTCTAATTTAAATTAAAATTATTCAGCATAATTGATTTTCCAAAGAACTAACCCATAATTTATTGTATATATTATAAAATAAGAGGTATCAAAAAGATTTCTTCACAATTTGTTTTTTATTTTCTGATCTTTGCATAAGTAGTAGTGAATGCTTATACTTAATACCTTCAGCAATTTGATTTTGGGACTATAGATGAAAACGTAATGTGTTATTTATAGAAGGAAATAATATTTGCCTTAAAATTTTTTCTTATTAGCCTGTGGAATTGCTTTCATTACTGTTTGTGGTGGCAATAATATTGCTGTCCTTCAAATTGGAATATGTGCTTTTATTTTTCTTGCTAGTAACCTTTAAATTATTTTAATATTTGTTTATTTCTGAGCATAGCTTGAAAAAAGGATGCCAGAGCTACAATGTCACCTGTGTGATTGTGCCAGTGATGCTCTTGTTGTGGTTTCTTATTTTCCTTCCTCTGCACCTTAGTTGCGTCGTGACCCACGGCCTGTCCTTTGTTCATGCTCTGGGCTTCCTGGAGCAAGGATCTAGTAAGGGGCCCGTCAACCTACAGATGTTTTCTTCTTCCCTTCTCGGGCTAGGATCCAAGAAAACGGGGTTGTAACACCCATTCTTGATCAGGGTACCTGGTCGTTCAATCCTTTCCAGTATCCTAAGGACCTGCTCTGCTGGAGCTGGGGATGGTCTCAAAGAGGAGGCAGTTCTGATTTTTTGAATAAGAGCATTTCCAGGAAACTCTTTTCTTTTTAGAAGGAAAGCCTTACTGTTATGTGGGTCTATCTTGACGTACTTGGAATCCAGAAGTTAGAGATTCAATATGGTTTTCTTTTGGGGGAAAACTCTTTATTCTTCACAGTCTTAAATGCTGAGCCCAGCTATAATTTTATAGAACAATCTATAGTGATTATATAAGGCCTCGGTTTATGTGTAGGAGCATATGACTTAGAGTTATAGCTCTTGCAGAACACAGTTAAATCTTATACACAGGGAGTTAGAGTGCACTTTGCTTGTTAGTTTACTACCTGACTTTGTAAAATCTAGGCAACAATGATAAACTCATCGTTCTACGGATGTCATGTTGCATTCAGAATGTAGTATTTCCAGTAAACTAAAATGTAAGAGATTTAGTCGTTTCTACATATCTTAAGTTTCTGGGGCCTTCTATTAAATTCTGCACTGCTAAGCTACTTAGCTAATTTCCAGTTAGATATAAAAGAAGTCAGTTTTGATTAGATTCATGTAACTGATGGGTGCATTTAGTTTAAAATCTTACAACAGAAATTCTCTTATCTTTAGCAGAACACCTGGAGAAGGACCATTTAATTAATTTGTTTAATTTTACTTCTCAGCTTTTTTTAAAACTCTCTGTTGTGGAAAATTTCATACATTTATAGATGTAAAGAGAGTATTTTGTGTACTCACCCCCCAGTTTCAACAATTGCTACTTGGACCAACCATGTTTCGTCTCTATGCACACCTGCTGCCCCCTCCCAAAACCAGGACACTGTATTACTTCATCCATGAATATTTCAGTATGTATGTGGAGGGCAATTTTAACTGCAGAAATCTACCTCTCAGGACATGACTGGATAAAACAAAGAGAGAAATCTATAGTCAAAGAGGGAGTTTTAAGATTCTATAACTTCTTTATTCATCTGTAAATTAGGAACATATTACCCCTTGCAGAGGGCATTAAGATTAAATAGGTTACTGTGTTTGAATAGACTGCACAAATTAAAAAATGGCATAAATTGTAAGATATGTTGCTTAATTATATAAAATGAGCAATGCTTATGTTGAAGAATAGTTTGTTGATGCAATTTGTTAATCCAATACTAAATGGCCCATTACTACTAAATCCATGTATGTTACTCATGCAATTAATAAATATTTATTGAGCACCTGCTCCTAGCCAGGCTCAGCTCCTGCATGGAGTATTCAGTCTTATAGGGACCACAGAGAAATGCTTTACTTCAAAGCAGATTTTATATTACAATTTAAAGCCATAAAATGCCTTCTTCTGCACTATTTTAGGTAATTTTTCATTTCAAGATTAATCAATTGTTAACTAAAAGAAAAAAATGCAGCTTAATGAAAGAACTGAGAAGGAAATATGATTACATTTCATTAAAAGACAGCATGCAGTTAATTGGCATAATTCTCACTGAGTACCAGTTATTTTTAAAAACTTATATCTGCATTATTGCTGGCAGGAAAATTACAGTGTAAAAGTGCATGTTTCTTTTTTTCTTAAGTGGTATTATGGTATTATGATTGTTTCATTTCAACTATAGTGAAATGTTCTCCCAGAGCAGTTAACACCAATAATGCAATTACATAAATCTAATGATACATCATAGTCAAAGGAAAGAGAAATTAGTGGGTTCTGTAGAACTTTATGAATTCCTAGCATTGATTAAAAGATCCACTGTGAATTACTGAAATTTTGCGAATTAGTGGGTGAGCAAGCAATTGATAAGAAACATTAATGGCCCCTATCTCATGGAGTGCATGCTATTTACTTCACGTTAGCTTATTCTTAACGACAGCAATTTTCATCATGGGCCAGTAAAGACAAGTCTTAATATATATTTCAAAAGAACAGAGAAGTCTTCACTAATAAAGTTCACGCCTGTGTACTGTGGTTTATTTTAACTTCTATGAAAGAAACAAGACTTTCCTTTTGAAGAATGTTAAGCTTTCTAAGTTTTATGATTCAAAATAAGAGATCATAAGGAGAGCACAGAGTCAGGAATGGCAAGAATCCAGCAGAGAAAAATCAGGAGCAATTTCTACTTAAATGCGTAGTAATAAAAGGCTATTGTAATACAGAGGATATTATGGCATTGAGATAGTCAAAATCATGATTGGCGTTTTGGCACTATATACAACGTGTCAAACACACAGAACAATTACCCTTTAGGTGTTATCTTATAGCTCAGACAGAAGAATTGGTTACAGATATTTGAAAAGAGCATGCTGCTTGGATCTTCACCAACACATACAAGGATAAGTGCTTAAAAAAATCCAGCCAGGAAAAATCTGGATAATCAGTGGAAAACTTCAATTTAATTTGAATTATTAGGATTTTGTGGATCCAACTTCAGACTAATAGTAACATTGAGGAATAAAGCGTACTCCTACATGTACAAATGGAGCAGAGTTGAATGTTCCAAGGAGGCCGAAGAGCAATCGGGAGAGAAGCATGTTCTCTCAGTGTGAGATTTGCAGGGTTTTACCACTTCTCTTCCAATGACATTTGTCAGGTGCTTTTATCTTCACTACCCCTATTTTAAAGTGTAATGATAATTTCTTTTTACTAGTGTAGTAAGTTTGTTCAGTTTGGAGAACGACTTATGCATCCATGAGCCTATCAGAGAACACAAAGAGAGAAAAATTGAAAACACTTGCTGTCTATAATTAATAATGAAACAAGGATTCGTTGAACGTCTTCTGAACATAAGGCATTGTGTTTGATATTGCGAAGGTTGTAAAAACTTATGGTCTCAGTTTTAAAGTAACTTACAATATCTTTGGGAAGCCGAGACACATATGCAGGAGAAAATTCCTAATGATTCCAGACAGTTTGGATAAATGCCAAATGAGGTATGTGGGTGATAGCTCAGGGAGTTCCCCGGAGCGAAAGATCTGGCCTTGAAAACTCCTGGGTGGGAAGGAATAGCAGAAGTGCAGAAATTCTAGATATACCTGCTTAGCTCACTTTCAACTAAGAATCAAATTTTGGAAATGGCATTATTTTATGCTTTAATTTAATAGGCAGGAAAAAGGAAACCAAGAGAAGTCAAGAGACTTATCCAAGGTCATCGAACTAGTAACTGACAGACCTAGGACTGAAAGTTGAGTGTCCCGATTTACAATGCATAATATTTTTATACATGGTTTGAAAATCCGGGATAGCAGGCTGGTGCCAGATGGAAGAAGTTGTGAATACTTAGTTAAGGCGTTTGGATTCGGTCCTGGGTAGTGTGGACTAAAACCTTGAATTTCTCCAAAGTCCCCAACAATCAAATTATCAAACCGAAGGCTAATTCTTCCTTATTGTTCATATCCCCTTCTTGAATCTTCTTCTTTTCTTCTTTCTTTTTTCTTTTCGTTTCATTTCTTTTTTCTCTTCTCTTCTCTTCTCTTCTCTTCTCTTTTTGCTGTGGTTTCTACTTTACTCTTCTATCCTGGTTTCTCCATCTTACCTCTCCGAATACTTTCTTATTTTATCTTCCAACCCTGGCCTCTTAAATTTAGGTGTTCTGCTTCTCTTCTTGCTCTTCCCTTGGGTGAGCTTTATCCAGCCCTGTGATTTTTCATTTCATGTGCCTTTGGATAAAAATCAGTTGTACAAAATGGGAACTCTATTTTCTATAATCACGTATCATTTTATTTTGAATCTCTGTTTCTGCTGATAGCAGAAAATGGCAGATGTAGCCATTATCACTTGTGTCAGTGTTTTTTGGCCTAAAAATTGTTTTCCTTTTCAAAGTTTCTCCTCTCCATTTCCTCCTCCCAATATGGCAGTTGGGCACAGGAGGAGCCTTAGGCATCCCCATGCAGATGGCGGAGAGATAAGGGCTCTGGGTGCTGTCTTCTCCTACTGGCTTCTGCTGACCTTAGCTGAGGTGAACTCATCTCCATGGCTTTGGGGCATCTGCCTTGGCATAGCTGGTTTGAGCTGTCTTTTCTTTGCCCTCTCCTCCACGCAGTGTAGCCCGGCAAACTTGCCAGCCAGGACCACAGCCAACTTCAATATCCCCAGTGGGACACACAGGAGCTGTGGATTCCCATCCATGCCACACGCAACCCATGGG